ACTTTGGCAACTAACCCTACCTGAACAAGATGATCAGTCAGATTTTAATCAGATCTCTAGAACTTTGGCAACTAACCCTACCTGAACAAGATGATCAGTCAGATTTTAATCAGATCTCTAGAACTTTGACAACTAACCCTACCTGAACAAGATGATAGGTCAGATTTTAATCAGATCTCTTGACAACTAACCCTACCTGAACAAGATGATCAGTCAGATTTTAATCAGATCTCTTGACAACTAACCCTACCTGAACGGTATGGTTCTTGTCCTTTCGAGCAACCCTTCGATTTTTCCGACATTTTCCTGTATGGTAGAACTGTCTGATGTAGAAGTAGATGAACTTGATGGTCCTGGTGAAGAGTTTTCCAAGATCAGCAAGAACCATCAACATCAAAGGAATTCCGAAAAAAGCATAAACAATGGTTGCAGCTCTTCCTGTGTTTGTGCTGGGAGAAATATTACCATAACCTGAAAAATTCAATTATACAGTTATGTCTAATGTGTATAAGCAGAACATACATTTATCAGTGAAGAGAGAAGTTATTGACAGCGTCCGATCAAAAGTAAGCTAACTATATAAATTAGAACTAAAATTACCTTACAAATTAAGGAAGTGTCTGTTGTTCCTGGACATGGAATTACTTCAGTGTTGATTATTACTCCTTAACTTGTTACAGAATGTCAACGCTATTGTCTATTGTTACTGGACTTAGAAACACTAACGTGATGGCTATTACTCCTTAAGATGTTACGGAATGTGAAAAGTATTCTCTGCTTAGTGTTCCTGGACTTGGAAACACTAACGTGATGGCTATTACTCCATAACCTGTTACAGAGTGTAAACAGTATTCTCTACTTACTGTTCCTGGACTTGGAAATACTACCGTGATGGCTATTACTCATTAACTTGTTACGGAATGTGAAAAGTATTCTCTGCTTACCGTTCCTGGACTTGGAAACACTAACGTGTTACGGAATGTGAACAGTATCCTCTACTTACTCTTCCTGGACTTGGAAATACTACCATGATGGCTATTACTCATTAACTTGTTACGGGATGTAAATAGTATTCTCTACTTACTCTTTCTGGACTTGGAAATACTACAATGATGGCTATTACTCTTTAACTTGTTACCTATTGTGAACACTATTATCTGCTTACTGATTTCAGGTATGGAAATACTACCGTGATGGATATTTTTTCATAATTTGTTACGGAATGTGGAAATTATTGCTTACTGTTCCCTGAAATTAATGCCCAGTTGCTATTATTCGGGAACAGGCCATACAAAATCTTACGGAAACACACATTACTACCTTTTTTTTACGACTTATTCAGAAAAGTATATACAGTACCAGCTAGTGTTACGTTACATGCTCCGGTATCAATGCGACATGGATTAATTTTACTTATCAAGTATCAAGCTGGCACAACGATACAAATTTGGATAATGTGTTAGGGCTAACTACATCAGGTAAAGTTCTGACATCTAAGTCAGTTTTTAAAGAATTGTTACATTTTTTTTATATCTTAGAATCTTATATTTTCATTTCAAATCCGTCTAACACTCAATGATAATGAAATCTGGAGTATAGGGTGATTCACGTTTGTATTTTCCTTTGATTAATGTTAGGTCATTTACATAATAGCATAAATACAACACCACCCCTCACCCCCCGGGCAGGTATAACTGGTAGTTCCTGTGGTCTTTTCTGGGATTGTCTGACAGTTCTACAACAACGTAGTGATATTTGACATTCAATAACGTTCGCCATCAATGGGAAAAAAGGATTTTATTGAATATATTGTTTAAAAATGAGCTATCATCACAGCATTACATCACAGAATATATTTTATTGAAGTATTTCTTTGTAGACGCAGTTATCAATGAAAGTTCTTTGCTTTTCTGTTGCAATACTCATGAGATTTTCACTAAAGAAAAACAAATAATTTTTTTAAGCTTGTTTTTTTTATTGTTTCATAATTGAAACTTATTCCTTTTGTTTGTAATTTTTATTGGTTAAATCTGAAACATATCATTTTTGTGGAAATCTCAATAGTTTTATTTATTGTTCAGCTATAAAAATATTACCCAGTTATGATTGGTGATGATCGGTGCGGTAGTTTCCGAGATCCGAGTTTTGGACATCGCAAGCTCCATTATAATATGATATTAATGGTTTGATAGCTAAAAACCGGTTGACCTAGTAATTAGTAATATAAAAACAACACCTACAGTCTAGTATGATTTTAGTATGTTCATATTTTAAGTCTCTGTAAGGTTATCACTGTCTTAAATTGTATCCATATATAAAATATGTATCTTTATGAAGTTAAATATAACAATTAAAACCTCATTCTATTGATTTAGAATATTTTGTTTTTAAACTCAAAGCTACACAGTAGGCTATCTGCGCTGTAGTTATTGTAGGTATCGATTCTCAATTTTTAGCATTATAAGCCTTCATGCTTATCACTAAACTACCGGAGGACTTTTAGAAAATAATATGATGCAGGGATATAATTATATATAAAAATATTAGTTTTTAAATGTTTCCCTATGATGCAGAGATATAATTCTATATAAAAATATTAGTTTTTACATGTTTCCCATAGGCCCGGCATGGCCAGGTGGTTAGGGCACTCGACTCGCAATCTGCGGTCGCGGGTACATGCTCGCCCTTTCAGCCGTGGGGGCGTTATAATATGACGGTCAATCCCACTATTCGTTGGTAAAAGAGTAGCCCAAGAGTTGGCGGTGGGTGGTGATGACTAGCTGCCTTCCTTCTAGTCTTACACTGCTAGATTAGGGACGGCTAGCGCAGATAGCCCTCGTGTAGCTTTGCGCGAAATCCATACAAACAAACATGTTTCCCTAAGTTTTATGACTTCCTTATTCAGTAATCTTATCACTTTGTTGTTTATACTTATCGGTAGGATTATATTTTTAAATAGCAGCTAACATGAACGAAGACATTTCTCATTTCTTGTTATTTTACTTTATTTGAAACAATTTTAGGATCATGCTATATAGAAAACACAAGTTCCTTTATTTCATTAGTTGGAAGAAGCAGTAAAGAGATACAGTTAATAAATGTTTTCAAATTTTTATATCAGTTTGTTTGTATGTTGTTAAGCACAAAGCTACACAATTGGCTATTTCCGCTGTGCCTACCACGGTATCGAAACCCGGTTTTTAGCGTTGTAAGCCTTCAGTCTTACCGCTGAGCCACTGGGGAGCTTTTATATCAGAGAAAGCAAACTCTTAGAGAAACAGTTAGCAATCCGTACATTTCAAAAAAGTCATTTGTACTCAATAGTGACCTTAATGTTCTGCTGAATCTATGGAAAGATAATGACAGTGCGAAGTAAGTTCTAAACTAAATTTATCCTGTCTTTCAGTTTTACAAGTCAGAAAAGTTGACTTAACATACCCAATGATTTGTGCGAGTAAGTTCTAAACTAAATCCATCCAGTCTTTCAGTTTTACAAGTCAGACAAGTTGACTTAGTATTCCCTATAACTAGGTGTTCTAAGTATAAGTCACTGATTTTCTTTCGAATTTACAACAGAAATCCAATGTTCTATTAGTTTCAAACTTAAGTAACAATGTAACCTCTTTAGATTTTGTAGAAAGTTGCATTTTATAAAATAGGTTTGTTAGGATATTTAGGCACATCTCCGGAGCTTCTTAATAAGATTGATTTAGCTGTTGTGACGACTTGACCGTGCTAAACCAGAGTATTTAACTTATAGGATCTGTTATTGTGACTGGTAAGGATTTGTTATAATGACTTATAGGGATCTGTTATAATCACTAATAAAAATTTGTTATTGTGACTGATAAAGATCTGTTATTTGACTGATAAAGATCTGTTATTGTGACTGATAAAGATCTGTTATAATGACTGATAAAGATCTGTTATTTGACTGATAAAGATCTGTTATAATGACTGATAAAGATCTGTTATAATGACTGTTATTGTGACTGATAAAGATCTGTTATAATGACTGATAAAGATCTGTTATTTGACTGATAAGGATCCACCAGAAAGAAAAGTTTAAGACGACGAGGTTCCAGAAACATCACTATTGTTTTACATATTTCAACAGTACAAACTACGAGACGTGAAGTGAGATGTAGAAAAATTAGAATTACCAAACTGGAATAGGAAAACTTGTTTGATTGTTTGTTTTTGGAGCAAAGCCACATTGGGCAATTTGCTATGTTTACCTAGGGAATTCGAACTCCCAATTTTAACGTTGTAAGTCCGTAGGCTTACCGCTGCCCCACCGGAGGACACACGTGGAAAGCAGAAATCTAATTCTTAAACTTTCGTATGTTTGTAGTTTTGAAGCATTAAACTGTGAGGTAGTTACAAAAGTACCATCTCAGAAAGTTAACCTTTTCGACAAAAACTGGTTCTATTTTAGGCATTGGTGGGTTACTGGATCCATGAGTATAAATTCGTTCCTGAAGTTCAAACACTCGAAATGAAAGTCTAAATAAATTACTGAAGGAAGTAACGCCTTCCCGAAATTAACTATCAGAATAAATCTACTTTTTTTTACCGTACCCTAGAGTATGCGAATTGAGCGAAATGATGATATATATATATTTAAATACCGGACAGTTTTCCTCAAGCACTTTGTGCCATATGAGATTACCGAAACTATTAGCATCATTAACGTTTGAAAACTTGGAAGTTCAGTTCGATAAGCCGAAGTCTGTCAAAATCTGAATATCCTCAGAAGAAACTTATAAGGGAATTAGATCAGGTAGGACATTATAATTAAACCTTGAATGTTACAGTTGTTTGTATTTTAAAGCCATGAAATTACCATGTAAGTATATTTTCTGCCTCCGAAGCATTAAAGGTTTACTTCTTTTTATTGAAAAGCTAACAGAATTAGGATGATACTGTATGTAGTCATGTTGTTCCTATAGTTGTATTAGTACTTGATGATGATAATATCTAGTCATATTGTTCCTATAGTTGTACTAGTACTTGATGATATTGTATGTAGTCATGTTGTTCCTATAGTTGTATTAGTACTTGATGATACTGTATGTAGTCATGTTGTTCCTATAGTTGTATTAGTACTTGATGATACTGTAT